TTCTTGTTTAGTGATTTTACTGAACTAATTCCATAAATTTTATATATTTTCTCATGGTTGGCCACAGAAATCTCTGCTTGGTTAGCTTAATGGTCACCTTATTATTAGAGCTTTCCTCGAATGCGTTGATCTAAGGAGTCTTCCAGCCTTTGCTGTGCACATGTCTTCATTGCTCCAGTGAGAAGCTCATAACTCTGCTTTAGTCTTCACTTCCTTCCTGTCAGCACAGAGCTTCCATGTGAGCCAGTAATTAGAAATGAGGGTAGTTCTTGGACATATATACAGCCCTGCATATGGACATGGCCTTCTTGAGTCCCAGGAATATATTAGAGTATTTCAAAGATCGCAGTGGAATTCTTATTCCTCAAGTTTTCATTTTAAGGGTTTTGGTTAGCTTCTTTCTTGCTCCAACTCTTACTGCCTCTTTAGGCAGCAGGGATGTCAGACAGATGCCATTGATTGTTTTTGACAAATGTTCCAGGGAGAAGGCTGTTTGCAGTGAGGGAGCTCTGAAATCAGGTCAGATAAAGACAAGGCTCGCAAAGTGGAGATTTTCAGGGAACTGCCAGACATGTCAAATAATGACAGTTGTATAGGGATAGGACTTTGGAGAATTCTAAACCTATTCTGCTCTTCTAAACCAATTTCCCCTTAGTGGTTGTTAGGCTGCTAGTTTTCTGGGCTACCATGATTGTGATGCTGTTGGTTTTCAAGGCTACCATGGAAATGGGGGAAAGGAAGGTGGATACAGGGCAGTTTAAAATGTCTCACATCTCACTGTTTTTACCGAGATCAGCTGTTTTCCTGAGTAAATACTTCTCAGGTTTTTGCAGGCTTTTTTTGGTTAATTTCCAGAGTTCTGGAAGAGTCGGTTTGATCATTTTTGCTAGTAATCTTCATGTTTTTATGGAAGAGTGAATTTTTGGAGTTCATTTGAAAGTGCTCATCTTCCCTATTTGTCATTGATATTTTAAAAATGTTAGACATACAATTTCTTACATCTATTTCTTTTGAAGAAATTAACACCTCACATTTTTATCAAGCCTTGGGTGCTTAGTCTGATACCGGAAATAAACACATTAATGAATTCATTTTGGTTTTCATACTGAGTGTATTCATCATTTATTTATTTTGCATCTATTGAGCATTTACACAATATTGGTAATGGAATATAACTAAGTAAGGCATGATGCTGTTTCAAGGAGCTCTGAGTTTATTGGGTAAGATTAAGAAAAAAAATCAACACCTATAATCATCACCATGTCAGGCGGTGAGTGTTCTGTACAAAGATCTACTAGACGCTGTAGAAGATTTACTTTTGTATCATCCTTGGGGCCTGGCATACCATTATTTCCCTGGGACTGCTGCACGAGCATCGTCAACATCATCATCATTTTTGTCTTTTCGATTCAATTTCTCTGTCACAAGCAGAATGATCTTCACAGAATGCAGATTAGATCAGGTCACCGTCACCCCTGTCTCTGTAAATTCTTTCACTGATTTTCATCAAGTATAGGTTCTAGGCCCCAAATCTTTCTTACCACTTCCAGCTGTCAGAAATGTCTGATATGTTTTGACCTTCCCACCTGTAACTCATGCTCTCATGACAGTGACCTCAGTCCTCTTGCTGCTTGAACATGGCACAACTCTTTCTTGTCTCAGTCTTTACGTGTATTGTTTCTTTTGCTGGGAATACCTGTTTCCCAGCTCTTTGCTTAGCTGATTTCTGATCATCCTGTTATCTGCTTAAATACCACTCAGTAGCTTCCCTAATCAGATGCATCCCATTCTTTTATATATTATTTTACAGTGTGCTTTCCACTAAGAATTGTGATCACAGGATTTTCATGTTTGTGCATTTGTAACTGTGTATTTATTTTTTTTTTGAGCATTTGTTGTATCTATACAGCTAGAATATAATCTCTGTGAGGATGAGAGTCCTTTTGTCATAGTATAACCTTAAAAATTTATTTTTATTAAAACTTTTTTTAATGTTTACTTTTTTTCAGACTTACTATTTTTATTCTAGAACTTTCAAATATAAGTTATATCATTTTTCATGAAACAAGAACAAAAATCTTCATCTGGGAGAAATTTTTAAAACTTTTTGGCACAAGATGGATAATTAAGTTTTTTAATATTTAATGGACTAGTTAGCCAGGAATATCTTGAAAAACCATGATGATTAACAGGAATTACTAAAAGACGTTTTTTTTGGAAATACTCGTTTTTCTCGTTTTATTGTAATTCGTCACTAGACTCTCCCTGTGATGCCGTGTGGTGCTCCACTCTGTTTTTGTTTTTTTGTTATTTTTTTTTAATAGTTTATTGTCAAGTTGGTTTCCAGATAACACCCAGTGCTCATCCCCACAAATACCCTCCTCCATGCCCATCACCTGCCTCCCGTTCCCCCAACCCTGTCTGCCCTCAGTTTGTTCTCAGCATTCAAGAGTCTCTCATGGTTTGCCTCCCTCCCTCTCCCCCACTATTTTCCCCCGTCTTCTTCCTCATGGTCCTTTGTTAGGTTCTAATCCTAATCCTCCTATACGTTCAAACATATGGTATTTGTCCTTCTCTGCCTGACTTATTTCGCTCAGCATAACACCCTCAAGGTCCATCCATGTTGCTACACATGGCCAGATTTCATTCTTTCTCATTGCCATGTAGTATTCCATGGTATAGATAAACCACATCTTCTTGATCCATTCATCAGTTGATGGACACTTAGGCTCTTTCCATGTTTTGGCTATTGTTGAGAGTGCTGCTGTGAACATTGGGGTACATGTGCCCCTATGCATCAGCACTCCTATATCCCTTGGGTAAATTCCTAGCAGTGCTATTGCTGGGTCATAGGGGAGTTCTTTTGTTTATTTTTTGAGGAATCTCCACACTGTTTTCCAGAGGGGCTGCACCAGTTTACATTCCCACCAACAGTGTAGGAGGGTGCCCGTTTCTCCACATCCTCGCCAGCATCTAGAGTCCCCTGATTTGCTCATTTTAGCCACTCTGACCAGTGTGATGTGGTATCTCAGTGTGGTTTTGATTTCTATTTCCCTGATGAAGGATGCTGAGCATCATTTCATGTGTCTGTTGTCCATCTGGATGTCCTCTTTGGAGAAGTGTCTGTTCATATCTTTGCCCATTTCTTCACTGGATTGTTTGTTTTTTGGGTGTGGAGTTTGGTGAGTTTCTTATAGATTTTGGTTACTAGCCCTTTATCTGATATGTCATTTGCAACTATCTTCTCCGATTCCATCGGTTGTCTATTACTTTTGTGGGTTGTTTCCTTTGCCGTGCAGCAGCTTTTAATCTTGATGAGGTCCCAGTAGTTCATTTTTGCTCTTGACTCCCTTGCCTTTGGGGATGTAATGTTTGTTTATTTTTGAGAGACACAGAGAGCACAAATGGGGGAGGGGCAGAGAGAGAGGGAGACACAGAATTCCAAGCAGGTTCTAGGCTCTGAGGTGTCAGCACAGAGCCCGATGTGGGGCTCGAACTCATGAGCCGTGAGATCATGACCTGAGCTGAAGTCAGATGCCCAACCAACTGAGCCACCCAGGTGCCCCAAAAAGTTTTTAAAAAATGTTTGTTTGTTTTTTTGTTTATTTATTTATTTAGAGAGAGCGATAGCAGGAGAGGGGCAGAGAATCCCAAGTAGGCTCTGTGCTGTTCATGTGGGGCTCAAACCCACAGACTGTGAGTTCATGACCTGAAGCTGAAATCAAGAGTCAGATGGTTAACCAACTGAGTCATCCAGGCGCCCCATCATCATATACACTTAGCTGATATTCATAAATGAAACAATCCGTCAATAGAAAGCATTCTAGTAAAATATATATTGATCTGAATTTAGCTTAGGGAGTGCCCAGTTCTATCAGTAGCAATGTTTGTGCACAAAGGAATAGTACATGTTAGTCCGATGAAAAGGGATGGGATATTCTAGGATGGTAGTAGTTACATCATGTACAGATGCCCAGAAGTGTGAGAAAATAAGATTTAGGAGAGCGATTATGAAACTTTTTGGTTTTAGTATTCCTTTACAGTCTTAAAATTGAGGATTCCAAAGAATTGTGTTTTTTTAATGCAGGTTATATCAATATCTGAGAAACTTAAAAGAGACATTTAATTCACTTAAAAATAATGCTAAAGCAGTACCTTTACTACTTGTTAATCTAAATAAATAGCGTCTCTGAAAAATAACCAAAAAGAAAATGGTAACAAGAGTGGCGTTTTTCAGATTCTCTTAAGTATTGGGCTTAATCCGAGACAGCGGCTAGGTTCTTCTGTCTACTTCTTCATTCCGTCTGTTGCAGTATGTTGTATGTTAATTACAGTGCATGAAGAAAGTCTGACATCAAATATGTGGTTGGAAAGGGAAGCACGCTTTTAATAGTCTTAGGCAGTTGTGGATATTCTTCTTTGATATTAAGCCAAAGCTTAACGTGTTAGTTGCAGTACCAAATGAAAAAAGATATCAGTGTACTTTTGTATTATATTACATTAAAATCCACAGGTCACTTTTGTGTTTTATCCATGTATGATTCTGTAACCTCATGTGTTGGTCGTTTTGAAAATACTGGGTTATTGAGTTAGAAAGATTTTCCAGATGGTGACCTGTTCATTATTACACTATTAGAAACCATATTCACTGTTACCACTCTAAAGTTATCAACAAAGTCTTTAGTAGGAAGCTGTGAAGCCAGTGGAGGCAGATACAAATTACATAAAATTCTAAAATTTAGCTTGAAAGCTTAAACTTTATCCTCGGCAACAAACACTACCAGTTGTTTCCTTTGAAGTGATAGGCTCGTTCTACTTACCTCTGAGAAAATTTCAGCCAAATATCTACGTCTGAATAGGGTGGGGGTCAATTAACTTACCCAGGGTCACATAGAGAACAGGTCTTTCTGATTCTGTCATATTGTACTGCTCCATGTATAAATTATTTGGGACTTGCTAAAGCCTGTTCTTACAATAGTGTATTGTGGTATTTTTCCTAGAGAGCATGAATGGTTTAAACAAGATTTGCCCACTTACTTATTTCCTGAAGACCCCTCCTATGATGCTAACGTCATTGATGATGAGGCTGTGAGAGAAGTGTGTGAAAAATTTGAGTGCACGGAATCAGAAGTCATGAACAGTTTGTACAGTGGTGACCCTCAAGACCAGCTTGCAGTGGCTTATCATCTTGTCATTGACAATCGGAGAATAATGAACCAAGCCAGTGAGTTCTACCTCGCCTCTAGCCCCCCAACTGGTTCCTTTATGGATGACAGTGCCATGCATATTCCCCCAGGCGTGAAACCTCATCCGGAGAGGATGCCACCTCTTATAGCAGACAGCCCTAAAGCAAGATGTCCACTGGATGCACTGAATACAACTAAGCCCAAATCTTTAGCTGTGAAAAAAGCCAAGTGGCATCTTGGAATCAGAAGTCAAAGCAAACCATACGACATTATGGCTGAAGTCTACCGAGCTATGAAACAGCTGGATTTTGAATGGAAGGTAGGAAATTGCAGTATATTAAGATCATTTGTAAAAGGTTGGTTTTTTTTTCTTTTTTTTCTTTTTGTGTTTATGTTTTTGTATCGTAAGCTGTTTGGAACTGTTGAGTTCTTAGGGTCAATAAAAAAGTTGTTTTTGATTTAGTGATTTAGATACAAATGTAGTGGTGGTGTTGCTTCTGGATGATAAATCCTGTTTTCCCCATTAATATACCACGTGCATTCAAAACTAGTGTAAGGATGACGAGTTGTTAGTGTGGGGGACCTCTGATATTTTTGATTTAGCGACTAGCATTCTTTGCCAAGAAGGAGTAAGTACTCAACCTGAAATCACCCAAGAAAATTGCCCACCTGTTTCCACCTGCATCATGGCAATAAAAAGTCATGTGTCTTCACCGAAGCTGTTTAACTTTTTGCTCTCTTTTTTTTTCCCCACTTGTTATAGCTGTTAGTGGTCAATACAAATGATACCATCAGTATATATTCCTTTAGTTAACAAATACTTTTCTCTAGGTTGAGAAAATCTCTTTTATTTGTCTAGTGCTTTTAATCCTTAGTTATGGTATATTTTTCTTACTCTCAGTCCTTAGTTTTCCTTTTTTCAAATTAGTGCTCAAATTCATTGCAATTCTCTTTGAGTCTGTGTTGAGGGAAAAACATTTTTTTTCCATCTCAGTATCCTTTTTCACTCTTGTTTCTTTATTGAAGACTATGAATATATTTTTAAAGGAAGAAGAAAAACATTCAAATGCACCATGCATATATTCATTTGACATGTTTGAAAAATTAGTCCTTTTCATTTTATTGTAACATGAAATGAATAAGCAAAATGATATTTCCTTAAATCATTTAAAAACATATCTGAAGCAATTCATTTAAAAGAGAGACATCAATGTCTTTAAAATTCCATACTGAAAAAAACTTGAAACTAATTTGATAGATGATTTGAAAACCCAGAATCGTCTTTTTTCTGAGCTGTAGTTTTCTTGTCTTCAAAAGGCAAATCATACTTCCTCACAGAAGTATTATTGCAATACTTAAATTCTGTGACAGTGCCTGTATATACTGCCTAATGCAAACCATTAACATATTGGTTCTCTTCTATTCCTTCTACTCCATATTAATAATAGGCAGAAATGTTTAAGTTGAGGCTGGGTAACCAGAATTACTGTTGATGTTTTAGAGTGGAGGCATATCTCGAATGAGAGCTAGACACTCTATAATCTCTAAGTTCCCTTTAAGTGTCAGTTGCTCTGTACAGACAGTACTATCAGTAGAGATTAAGTAAATACCAAGCTGTTATGTAATATGTATTTAAAAAAAGATCATTCAGAATTCCTACTCTACCCCATCTCTCTCATTTGTTTCTTTTGCTATTCTTTGCAATAAGAAGGAAGATATTTTTTAGTTTGTTATTTGTAACATTTTTCCTTAAAAAAAGATTTCCCATTTTAGGTAGTGAATGCATACCATCTTCGTGTAAGAAGAAAAAATCCAGTGACTGGCAATTATGTGAAAATGAGCTTACAACTTTACCTGGTTGACAACAGAAGCTATCTTTTGGACTTTAAAAGCATTGATGGTAAGGAAGCTATGCAGGCATGAGCTCTGAGAAGATAAAACTTGGCACTAGTTGAAAAGATGTTAAAATCATCTCAAAGACATGATGGTAGGTCTTCTGTACTGGTTTTTTAGTAATCCAGAGTTGACTAAAAATGTAAGTGAAATGGAAAGGTTTGAAGACATCTGGAGTATCTCTAATTCAGCACCTCTTCAAAAGAAATGCCTCCTTAGCATAAAAAAATTACTTGAAGTTGGTGGCTGTGGAGCAAAAGTAAGGAACAGTAGAGAAGGAATTTTTACCTAAACTTTGCTGATGTTGTCTGGTTCTTTGTCATATTTCCCCATTCATATGTTATTACCATTAGGATTGTAATATTTACACTTCCCTGTTTATCAGCCTCCTTCATCCTGGTTGGCCAAATGGTCTTTCCTGGGATTCAGCCCATTCGTCTGCCCCAGATGTCCAGGAGATGAAGGAATCTGCAGGTGGTTGTGGGTTGTGTCTAAGTACTTAATGTGTGCCAGAAGTCAAACCTTCATGAACCAAATGGGTTTGTTCAGTTCAGAGGCCCAAGTGGGATAAAAGCAGTAAACCACGGCCAGGTGCTAGATAAGAGTAGAACTGAGGTCAGAGTTGGGGAGGTTGTTTTCAATAGAATAGTTAAATTTTATTCTTGAACCACCACCACCAATAGCCGTATTTATATAGTCCCTGACCATCATCATCAGAATTACCCAGCATTCATATTAAAATGCAGATACTTGGGAACTACCCCTAGATCTACTAGATCAGAATCTCTAGAGGTGAGTCCTGGGAAATTGTAAGTCTTCATTTTTAACAAGATTTTCCTTGTCCCTCCTCCAGGCAGTCACAGTGTGCACTGAATGTTCAGAACCACTGTATGATGGCAACTTTTGTTTTTTTTAGTGATACCTTTTGTTGATATGCTGCAGGAAAATAATCCTCCAAGCATGTGCTTTCTTCCTATGGGGTATCAATTTGATTACAAGGCTGATGCCAAATACTGTATGACAGAAGGATTTAGGGGTGACATTTTGACTGTGTCAGTGTCATGATTGATTAGTGATGTCTTTTATGATTGTGGGAGGAAAGCCACCCCTGCTCCCCAGACTCTGAAACATGACACCCACTAAGTTGAGCTTGTTCACATTTGCTTACTTACTGTTTTGAATGTGGCATCTTCATGGAAGGGCTCAGACAATTACACCGTTCATGTAATTTGTTCTTCTTTGGTTCTTTTCAGATGAAGTGGTGGAGCAGAGGTCCGGTTCCTCAACACCTCAGCGTTCCTGTTCTGCAGCTGGCTTACATAGACCCAGATCGAGTTTTGATTCTGTAACAGCAGAGAGTCATTCACTCTCTGGCTCTCTTTCTGGCTCCTTGACAGGAAGCACACTGTCTTCAGTGTCACCTCGCCTAGGCAGCCACACCATGGATTTTTTTGAAATGTGTGCCAGTCTGATCACTACTTTAGCCCGTTGATGTTTCTCTAGTTTGTCTTTGTTATTGCACTGTGAAAATCAGATATATTCTTGAAATTATTATTTTATTTATGGATATCACATACTCTGGAATACTGATTGAGAGTCATGAATATTTCCAAGGGACACTCAATGCCATTGAATTACTGAAAACAAAAAAAGTCTGACATTTTATTTACCTGTAGACATCTGTAATTCTATTTGCCTATGATAAATTCATAGGCAGTACCTTTAATAGGTTAACGTTAGTGAAGATTATTGTTAATTTAAAATTGTGAGTTCACTATAGATGATTAATATACTCTCACTGGTGAACCGTCTCATCAAAGGATAGTTTGGCAATACCTTTTTGCTTTACTATTTAATGTAGGTAAATCCAGTTTACTTCCTAAAAAGTTCAGCAGGCTTTAAGTTGTGGTTATGCACCCTGTTCTCTTGCACAAGAAGATTAAAAAAATAATACGGCAGTTAGTAAGATAGTATTTAAATGTTAAAATCTTAAAGGCTTGTCCTCCAAATTTCAGAAACTAAGTTCTTCTAGAAGCTTTAGTTTTTGCAAATACTGCCTAGTGTTTTAACAGAAGGGCTGTGGTCCTGAAACAGGTAACTGGTTTTTCCAGGTTCTTTAAAAACAGCTGTAATCAGCTAGAGGCTTTGAGATTTCCTCGAATAATATATTTATCTTAAGAGCCTTCAATGTTCTACTCAGTATTGGGACATCTAGAATTGCAACAACTTTTGTGTTTTTCATAAACGTTATCATTTTTTAAAAAAATTTAACATCATTTTAAAACATGCCTTCAGAAGTACTTTCCTCAGATTATTTTTGGCTCTATTTATTTTTGTATTTCACCAAGCATGATAAAATAGCTAAATGAAACAAAACAAAATATCAGCAGTCCCTTAAGAGAGAACTCTTACCTTTGACTTAATGTATGTGGTGGTGGAGAGTTCTGTGTCTGTCCTGTTGTATCCCACACTGCTCATTCTTCATCTGAAGTTCAAATTTGTTATAGCAGCCGGTCTCCTCCCCAACCTTCCTACCACCATTGTCTTTGTTGTTTGATTCTTAGTGGCTGACCGACTTAGCTTTTACAGCTTTTCTGGGTCCCTTTCTTTGTTCTGTATCTTGGTTCTAGCCACCCAGTTTGAAACCATTGTTCTGGCCCTAAGGGCTTTTGTGTAGTTCCAAAGCTTAATAGGCTCTGACCTTCACTGTTGAGGCTGTTAGGGTAGGGAAGCCTGAAACATTAAAAAAAACAAAAAAAAAACAAACAAAAAACCAAACCCTCTCTTGAATAAATATGTGTTGTTTACATATATACATATATGTATTCAGACACCAGTGCTTTTAAAGGAAAACCAAACAGGTTCTTTGTTTTGCCTTGTGCAGGTTTTATTTTTTAAAGATTAAAAAGAAACCTGTATACAGCAGAGTAGATAATAGCTCATTGCTTATATTGTTTTAGTGAAAGTATTTAATTTTTAAATTATGTGTAATTTATCTAATTTGTATTTATCTATTCTTTTGTTTAATATGTTGTAATTAACACTCTCATTCACCTGAGTTACCCTAGGAAAGATTAAGCTCTTGAAAACAGGTTTCTCTTTGCCAAAAATGATGTTTTCTATCAAGAAGCAAATGAAAATGTTAGGCTAAGTTTCTCTTGTGTTTATGGAAGATAAGCATGTCTGTCTTTAAGTAGTTTTGAGTCAGGAGTTTGCAGTGTGTCACATCATATTGGCTTATAGAACTTTTTAAAAATGGTGTTAAGAACTTTTAAATCTGACTTAAATTGAAAGGAATCTTTGCTTGCCAGTTTAGGAAAGAGGGTGGGTTTACATTAAACTGTTTTAAATTTAAGCCTTTGAAAGGCTGCCATCTAGTGGCAACAAAGGGTACTTTTTGTAGTTTTTATAGGGAAAGCAGTCCTGCTGTTATTAGTCTGACGTGCATTATGCATAGGGCATAATTTTGGCCTCTCCAAATGTGTAAATACCTCTTTTGGGAAAAACAGGGCCACCTCATAACATTTTCTTGATTATGAATGGGATGACCTTAGAAATGAGGAATTAATCTGATGAGTCCTAGCCCCAGTGACAAAATCCCTAGGAATTTTGAAGGTGGAGAAACAGTAGCAAGGACTACAGTGGCATTTTAGCTCTGTAAGTCAGATATTAAAAACTTAGTCATATAAAAATTATTTTATATGGATGTTTATCACGTTTATTGAGAATTAAAAATATTTGCTATTTTCTCATTCTTGCCAGTATTTGTGAATACCTACACTTTGATGGTTACCTGTTGAATTTGAGGAGAACCAGGGTTGCAGTTTTGATTCCTGTATGCTCAAGTTTTTAAAGTACAGCTACTCTGTGACTCTAGAAGGCGTAGTAAATTGCTTTGTATAGAGAAGATTTCAGGAGGCTCAGTCCAGCCCAACAGGGGCTAGAACACTGTCCTGGGAAGCTCTTGTTGCTAATAAGCAGGAAGAGGGAAAGAATCAATTGCTCAATTCCCACATTTCAGTCTTGTAAGCTGGTTGATTGTAGATGTGGTATGTGGTAGTTAGATCTGGGTGAGAAGAATTTCCAGTTAAGATTCTGGAGGAGAGCTTCTATTATTAGGTTATAAAGACTTAATCACATCATGGAAATGGACTCCATGTGGTTCTGCAGTAGCACTCTGAAAGTGTTTCCCTTGAGATGCTCTGCTGAAAAACGAGCCCATTGAGCAAGTTTGGAAAATGTCACAGGCCTCTCCTGCCTGAGGATGGCAATGGATTATGAGCATTAAGACTTTGAAACGTCCTTCAGTGAAAAAAAAAAATACCATTTAACTTTAACCCTGCTTTGCCCAAAGTAATATAACTATCTTTTAAACTTAATATCCCATGGGAAAAGGCAATTTTGAAAAATACTTTGTCCCAGGTTGCTAAAATTAGAGTAGTTAAGAATAGAATTAAGATATCTTTTTCTCATCAGTTGTTGGAGAGAATATGGTTCAAAATCAGAAAAAATTCATGTTATTTAACCTGTGGACAAAATCATTGAGCAAATGCTGGACTACATAGAATTTTGTGTGTGTGCGATGTGTTTCATAGCACCTTGATCTTCTTAATCAGGTTGTGGTATTGTTTAGGAGCAAAATTTCTTCTGTGCTGTGTTGAACGGATAGCTAAAAAACCTTAAGATTATTTGTAAAAAAAAGGCCTACGAGACTAGTGACTGTTGATGACCCTGTTGGCAGTGAGTTCATGACCTTGATTCTCCCTTTCAAAATGTGTAGTCAGTGAACATTCTCTAAATGCTTTTATATAGGACACCATATTTAGATCTAATTCCTGATATCTTTAAATGTAGGAATCAGATAACATCTTTCATTGAGTAGGGAGATAGGCAAACTATTTCAAGTGGGTTTTTGTTTTGAAACAACAAACTTTTGAAATACTTTTGTAATCTCAAGTGTTCACATTCCTTAATACTAGTCCTCTATAAGAAAAATCTAGGAGCCTAAATTAATCAGAAGTAATGGTATTTCTGTGTCAGGGAATTGGGTTTATGTAGTCCAGACAATTCTCCATTTTCTGCAAATAGGGTTCCCATAACAGTTACATAATTGTGGGCTTGCTTTTTCTTATTCTCTAGCCAGTTTGTACTCAGGGAACATAAATTGGTTTTTTATATTAGATGAGACATAACTGAGAAAATAATCATAGAAAATGGTTACAGGTATTTTGACTATTTGAATTCATTACTTCTATTGTGCAGTTTACTCAGTTAAGCACTGTACAGATAAGCACTGTATCTTCCATTTATAAAATATGGATAAATGGATAAAATATAAAAAGCGTAGACCGTGCCTACCACAGACACTGTATCGTTGTCTATTCACTGGTTACGAATTTAAATCCTGGTAATGGCTGTGAAACCTCAATATCTAAATGCTAAACATCTTCACAGTTTTGTCCATCTTTGTTTTTAAAGATCTCCACCTTTTCAGTCTGGTATTACTTTACCTGGTCATTCTGTGACTTTTTAAATAGGGAATGTAACTTAATAATTCTCAGAGGCTCTATTAGGAACTCTGGATAAGGGATATGTGCAATCTGTTAGTAAGTCACACCTATGTTGGGCCTCAGTCTGTAACCTCTAAAGTGGGAGGAATAGACTAAAAGGCCTCTGAGGTACCTTTGAGCTTTAAAGTTCTGTCTTTGCCTTTTTTTATGTGATTTGTGTTAGTGTTCACTTTTTACATATTTAGAAATTTTATAGTGTGAATGTTCTGTATTTGTTCGGTGAGGTATTTTAAAGGCAAATACTTGAAAAAATTTTAATACAGCTGCCCTCGGGATTACAAATGGCAAAAATCATCCAGAAAACCAAACATGTTAAAACATCATGTGTACCTAGCGTAGGCAAAATAGTACTAATTTGAAGTGTGGGAAGTGTTTGGTACATTTTTATAGTGACTTTTAGATTCTGAGACCATGTCTATTAACTTATTTATTAATACCTTACAGCAACCTTGTGAGGTAACCATTTTCCAGATGAGGAAGCAGGACCACAGAGCTCTTCACAAAGCTTTAATGCCATACAAGTTTTGAGCGATGATCACTGCTGTTTCTTTGCCACTTACCTCCAGGGGAGAACAGTCTGACTCACTGAAACATCTGAGTAGCCGAGTCATAGATAAATACAGATCTATATTGCTTTCGAGTCTTAGAGTGACATAAAATAGTCTTAATTGAATATTTCTTAAATTATTTGAACTGGTTGATTGTACTAATACAATTACCTGAAGCATTTATGATTAGCATATTGATATTTTAAAATACTTCTGAGTTATTGAGGGTGCTTCCAAAACACTGAAGAAACTTTTAGGCATGAATCTTTAATTTTATTTAGAGGATTCTTGTAGCACAATCTTTATAAAAAGTAAAAGTAGCTCCAGCCCCTAACTTAAATTATCATAGGTTTTGACTGTTATCTGAATTAGGCTTACCTAAATTTCATATACAGATTGATAATTTTTCATTTTGTATGTGTATTTAGGTGATAAACACTATTTTCATAGAGGCTGTTTATATTCACAAACTACCTAATTATTGGCTTGATATTCTCCCAAATCTTTTTTTTTTTTTTTTTTTTTTAATGTTTTATTTATTTCTAGGAGAGAGATAGAGACAGCATGAGCAGGGGAGGGTCAGAGAGAGAGGGAGTCACAGACTGAAACAGGCTCCAGGCTCTGAGCTGGCAGTCAGCACAGAGCCCGATGCGGGGCTCGAACCCACGAACCGCGAGATCATGACCCAAGCGAAAGTCGGACGCTTAACCGACTAAGCCACCCAGGCGCCCCAATATTCTCCCAAATCTTAACAAAACTTTGAAACGTAATTTGTTTGATGAGCTTTAAAAATGATAGATTCCTTAAGCAAGTTGCTGGCATCCTTACTAGCTGTTCCACATATAATCATGATGCATTTGATGCCAGTGAACAGAAAGAGCATAAAGACCAGCAGCACTCACAGTCTAGACTGGGTTGAGCTTTAATTAAACTTTTCAGCCATAACCTGATAAAAATCAGGCTGGATCTCGAAGTTAGCAAGCAGACCGTGGGCTGGTATTAACGTGAGAGCCAGTGTCCCTGTTTACTGCCAGCCTTGTACAGCAGTGCCAGTTTGCAGCCGTGACTGCGATGTGACTTTCGGTAATAACTGTTTATGTCTAAAGCAGTTTAGATCTTAGGGAAGTAGCTTATTATTTGGACAAGCAAGGTAGGTAAATTCCAGTTACATTTAAAGTGCAATTAAGGAAATCCTAGAGTAGTATGCTCTTTCCAGGACAAAAGCTTAAGTATTTGTAGAATATTCTAGCGTGGAAATTTTTCTGAACGTAAATAGAATCTTGAGGAGGTTCGTACGTTTGTTTCAAGGTTAACTACCATGTATTGATTTAGAATTTCAAGGAGGAATAGGAATGTTCTATCCAAGGAGAACTGCATAATTTTTTGCTGCTAATGTCAGCACTTATTTCTCATAGCAAAGATCCCTTTTCGGTTAGTTTTGTTAAAAAGAAAGGCCATCCTTCTAGATAACATTTTCCTGAATGGAGAAAGAAAGAGATCCATTGTTGTATACAAAAACACCTTAATTGTGCCTTCTCAAATTAGTGGAATAGTAATAATTGGTCAAAAATTTGAACTATCTTTTTTCTAATTCCTCTCCTTTTTCCTTAGATCTACCGTCCACAAATGGTTATTTTGTTTGCTTTTGCCTGTTTGTGGCCAGGCCTTACCCTATTCCTGTCAGAAGCTGTTCGCTGGATGTATTTTTCTATTCCTTTCACGTTGCTTCACTTTTTAAGTCACTTTGGCAAAACTTTGGCTACTTTCTCCTGTTTTTAAACTGAAGAGCAATCTTTATATTTCAGCCCTTTAAAATGTTTGTAAAGGCAAGAAATAATGCAGAGCAAAGAACAAAAATCTAATATGGAATCTGATTCTCAGTTTGGTTGAGTTTTCTCATCTACACAATGTGGACAATAACCTACCTCACAGACGTGTGAGAAACTGAAGGCCCTCGCTTCAATACAGGGTTTATCACCCTATTTAAGGTAAATCCCTTCTTCTTCTTTTTTTTTTTTTAATAGAGATCTTTGATACTGATAGGATGAGTATCTTGATTTTAGGTAAGTCTTATGTGGTAAGAAAAAAATGTTTAAGACCACAGTTTCACAAATTCTGGTATTTTAAGTGACTTAAAACTTCTTGAAAATATCAAATATTCAAATATTGAACTTGTCTTTTGTGGCAACAGATATTCAGAACTTCTTAAAATGTTGGCTGACTCTGCCTTAATGTACCAAAATACAGCTTTCTTTCAAGACTGTTCACAAATATGTATGGTTGTATAATGATTTGTGTGTTTAATGTAAAATTGTTAGAGAACTGTGAACTCTCAGCATAGTAATCTAAATAATGTTTTAAGAATTCCTGTGTTCTTTGTCATGTATGATGAAATATACAGTGAGTTTTGAGTGCAACAAATAAAACTGAAAGTTGACAGCCATTAGGTTGTGACCATGACAATCAAGAAAATACAAGATTGGCTCTTATTCAAAAAAAATTTAAAGAGTATCCTGTATTCATTCTTTTTTAGCCTATCCTTGATAAAGAAAAAGAAAAACCCCATTGACACATTCACCTGTTGAAGCACTTGGTAACATATTTAAAAATCTTTTTAAAACTGTTGGAAGTTGGGATCATTTTTTTATGACTTTAGGAAGAAGAAAAAAGCCCTGACTTTGAGTGTTTTTGTGTTTTATTAACTATAGATTCAAATTTCAGTTTTGTTTGTTAGGTATTTTTGGTGGGTGTGAAATGATCAGTGACAAGGCTCTGTCTTCCAGTAACCACGTGGTGAAGCTGTCCTCTTGAACTACACACCAGTTCATAGTTCTGGATGCTCCCTGATTCGTATTTGCACTGTGCGTCCTCACAGGTAACAAACACAAGAGAGAAAAGCAGCCTGATTGCTTATAAGCTTTTTTCACAAAATCAAATTAAAGTCTCTGGTTAATGTGAAAGCTATTTTTGTTTCTGCTCCGTCATTAAGCTAATATTCTACACATCAGTTAATAGTTATAGAGAGAGCTGTTGAAGGAAAAGATTGCCATGATTTCATAACCACTTTTTGTCGTACATTGTAGTTTCTAACTTTAGCCACTGTATTTTCAATTGATGTCATGACAGATTGCTACAAACCAGTGACTTAACACGAATTTGTTATCTTACAGTTTTGTAAGTCAGAAGTTTGGTGTTGCTTCTTCAGGTCACACAAGGCTGTGCTACAAGGTCACACAAGCACTGGTAGGGTTGAACTCTGGGGAATCATCTGTTTCAAGGCTGCTTCAGATTGTTGGCAGAATTTAGGTGCATGATGCTGTGGGACTACAGTCCCATTTCTTGGGTGCCTGTTGGCTAGCGATCGTTTGCAGCTTCCAGAGGCCACCATTGCTCATTGGTCTGTGGCTCCCTTCATCTTCAAGGCCAGCAATGGGGCTGGGGTGGCCGGGGGAAGGATCATGCTCTGAATATCTCCTGCTTTCCTCTTCTTAAGGGCCCCTATGATGAGAAGTGAGCTCACCTGGATAATCTATTTTAAGGTCAACTGGCTAGCGACCTTAATTTCATCTGTGAAGCCTCTTTTGCAAAGTCACATATTTACAGGAATGACACTAGGACATACAAATGACAGAGGAAAAAAAAATCTGCTAACCACAGCCATAGAATAGGAAGGGAAAGGACCTCAGTGTAAAAACAATAGAATTCTACACTAAAGGCTGTGTAGGATAGAGAATGAACAATGTAGACGTGAGCCTATGTACTTACAATGGTCGCCATTCATACTTATCTAAATGCACTATCTGAAAAATACGGTATGACAATCTGCAAACTTAAAATGTTTTTCTTTTGCTTCCTCAATTGTAGGAGTATGGATGCTTATTGTAGGAAGTTTAAAGAGGGTGCAAAAGTAATATCCCTACTCTTTTGTCCCCAAAGAAGGGCTTCTTAGGAATTTGTTATTACGTATTCATTTTATTCCCTGCTTTGTGTTCTCTCCCTCAGAATCTATGTTTTAAAAGTTCTGAAGACGCGTGGGAGAGGGCTTGCTCAGGAGAAAGCTATGTCCTCTTGGAAAAGAGAGCGTTTCACAGAGGAACCCTAAAGGAGGAAGGGAAGGGCTTGTTGGGGCAGACTTCTAGGTGGCTGGCGGCCCGTCCTGTCCATGAATTTGAGTGTGCCAGGGTTAGCCTCCTTTAAGGTAAAGTGCTTTGGGATGCTGTTGTCTTTTTATAAAAAATTTCTGTTGAGGTTTTATGCTAGGTTAGGGCTTCTAGGAGACAGAGGGCATCTGCTTTGATATCACTGAAGTGTTAGTTACAGTGTTTAAACTTCGTAGATCAATAATGAGGTACTTATTTTGAAGGGTAAGATTTAAAGAATGGGAGAAGTGTGGCTGAAATTTGTGAACAAGATGCATAATATTGATTATGGATAGAAGCAGTAATTAGGTACTAGCTTATATTAGAATAAGGGTTTATATTTTGAAATCACAGAAAATACTCTGTTTACTTATAACGTCCCAGCCATTCTTTCCAGTCTTGTTTTTGACATTTAAATCTTACTTTTGTTTCTAACATCTTCCAACCACAGAAAAGGCCAGGTATTAAAGTAATTATTATACAGTATTGTATACTAAGAATTTTAGGACACTTTTACTTATATTATTGTATTAACATAACAGCCTAATAACACTGTGAAGTAGGTTGAGTGTTGTTTAGTTTTGAGAGTATGTGAGCCAAGGAGACATGGAGACAGAGTAGCCTGGTTTTCCTGATGAAAGTGAGGCTCAGAGCTGAGAGTTTCTGACTCTCTGTACAGGATTGTTGCAGGAGAGGTATCTGCTCAGCCTCTCACTCACTTACCTCCTTGCCCACAGGCCATACTTAGCCTCATCTTCTACGGTGTGCGGGAGGGCTGTGCTTGCCTCTCATGGAGTAGCAGATGCAATGCAGGGGGATCCAAGCAGAAATAGATTACCAGTCTCATTTCACTTATTGAGCCCTTTATTTCTGCTGTCCTTCCTTATCTCTGTGTTAAGGGTCTCACTGATAGCCTCCCCCTTCTCTCAAGGCCCATGAGTATCCTTGTGATCATTACTTTAAATTCTCCATCAGGCAGGTTACTACTTGTATCTGTTTTGCTTAGATTTCCAGCTGTGCCGGTCTTGTTCTTTCTTCTATCCAAGTCTCTGTGCCTATTTCTGGGTTAGGAAAGTCAGCGATGTGTCCTCTTCTTGAGGTTACTAGCTTTGTGAAGAAGGGGTCCTCTAGTGCCCTGCAGTGGTGTGTTCCCAGGACCTGGCACTTCCAGGAGGGTCACCAGCATGTGCTTGAGCTGCTTTATCCTTCAGGCCAGTAGTCTGCAGTGGCTCTTTGCTGTTGTGGTACGTTTTAACTAAGTGTGTTCTGGCACTGCTGCCACTGGCTCCAAGGCTGCTCAAAACTCTCCTGAGTCCTGCAGGTGGCCCTACCCATTGTAGGGGCCACGATCCATCTCTCCCAAGCCGTGTCTCTGGCACTCTGCACCTTCTCCACCCTTATTTGGGGACTTTGTTCTGCCAGTCTCCAGATTTGTTTCTGGGGTTTTAGATGTTTGATACTTACCCACTTGCATTCACGGGATGAGGCAAGCTGAGAGTCTTCCTACCCTGCCACCGATTCCCCTATGAATACTTTTTATGCTTGGCCTTTCTTGGTGACTGCCATTTGGAACATGATAAAAGAACCTGGATGCTTAAAAAAATAGTTTCACAGTATAAAGCATTAGGCCTGGGACAAATTCCATTACATCCTTGAAGGCTAGACTCAGCCTGTATAAACAACGGAGCAAAATTGTTCAGTTTTTCAGGGCTGAAGAAGCCACTTAGAACAGCTGTATGCCTACATAGACTTTAACTCATGGACAGGCAGTGCACACCATGTAAAAACACAGTTATTTACAGCTCCACGTTTTTTTCCCCCTTTAATTCTATTTGAATAGGGATTCAGGCATAGAATTATTTTTCTTCCTTTTGATGGCAGGATGTTTTAAACTGACAGCACATATATATTTACTGTGTAAAATATATTTAGGCTCTTCCTTTGGGAATGAATTGCTTTTTAGCATTCTAGTCCCAAAATACGCCAATATTAATTAGCATTTGTCTGATTTTGTTGACAAAGCAGAAGGACACTTGATTTTTTTGAAAGACTGAGCCATAATTACACTTTATATCTTAAATCTGAGTATTTAAAAGACCTTGGTTACACTATTTACTTTTTTCAGAATTAAATTACACACAGTTTAAATGCACAACATCTAGGAATTATCAACACTTGTATACTAATATTAGGAGCAAACTAACCATCTGCACAGCTGCCTACGTGCCATCAGGCATGGTTTCTCACTTTGGCTAGGGCTCATTAAGTAAGTGCTCACATGCTAACACAGACATTGAAAGATAACCATTTAGGAGTAAAACCAACATCTAAATGTGGAGGATTTGTTTTTCTCTTCTCCGATTGCACAGATCCCACCATCCCACTCAACGTGTGAACTGACAGGCGAGGCAGGACTAAGATCTCAGACTAGTCCTTACTGGTGCAGCTTAATCTTCCTAAGGTGACCAGCCTTGATGCCTGAGAAGACAGAAAGGGAGTGGTAGATTTCCCACCCAGTTTGGGATTCTTATGCCCTGTAGAGAAGTTTGATAACTGGAAACACAACAATCAAGTCTCTTGCAAAGTAATTCTTAAAACTTTTCTTGAATTTAAATAAATTTGGTAGTCTTTCCTTGAGATAACATACACAGTCTCTTAAGTATTTAGGATTCATGACTTATAGTATAAAATCAAACCACTTACTTGAAATCTAGATGTTCAAGAGGTACATATCCATCTATAGAAACAGAAATCACTGTTACTAATCTCAAAGTTATAGAATGCTTTGAGATTTTTCTCAGACAGTGACTGAAATTTTTTGGGTGATAAGCCATTAACTTACATTTGCCTTTGGAATTGCGACAGATCACTAGATTTTCTTCAGTGGTGTCAATGACTTGCAGTTCTTCTCCCGGGGTTATTGGCAAATCAAACGTTCCATTTCTTGAGTTCCTGGAACATGCCACTGCTGTGTTAATGACGGTAATCTCCTTATCATACTGAAACAAGAAATTACTAATCAGACTGTGTGCATCGTTTTTATTCTAACAAAATTAATGGAGGACATAATCAAGAGGCTAGATATTAAATAACATCTAAGGGAATAGGAAAATATAATAGTAAAATGCCACAATCTTACATTTTTTTCAAAGTGTTTTCACACCTGTTACCTAATTGTACTAGAATGAATTCTGGTGGATGAGAGGTCTTAACATGGGTGTCAAGAAATATCATGGATATATGTTAAAGTTACCACCAAACTCAGGAGTGGATAAGCTTAAGAAAATTAGAGGGAAAGAGAAAAATCTGTGTCGTGCTTTAGAGTTTATAATGTTCTTATATACCTTGCTTTGCTAGGTGCCAGTCTTTCTACCCTTCCTCTCTGGGCTTATATATAAAGTACTAGGAATGGGGAGTGGGGATCAATTCCCACTCTCCTTCTGTGGTCAAAAAACAGGCATTTGTGAAAAAAACTGATGAGAAAACTCAATTTCTGACCTTCCTCCCTGATTTCTAGGCCATTGTTCACTATGAATACAGTGATTCCTTAACACAAAAATCTGATCAGTTCACTTTGCTTTCTGTGAAGTCGTAAAGATTCTTCAGTGCTTTCACAATAAGATCCACCTTTCTCAGCATAACATTCAGGGTCCTTTGCAGACTATCATTTCTCATGCTTCCATTTCTGTCAAGCCACATCAAGCTATGATCCTGAATATACCATGTACCTTTTATGTTTGCAGGCCATTCGCTGTTCATACAGTTTTCTCTGCCTGAAATATCTTTTTCTCTTAACCACTTCACATGAAGACTTTTATGACTGCCATGTGTAATTTTCTGTTTAATTGTACCACTTTGTATATACTCCTATTACAGCATTTAATAAACATACTGTCTTATAAAATGGAAGACAGTTTTATTCATCTTTGTACCCTCAGTGCATAACACAGATGAGGCACTAATCTATGATTTGAGCTGAATAACAATAACTGAAATGGCACATAGTTTTTCTAATGATATAAGAAAACCCACCACAGGTAATAAGGAATAGAATCATACACATCAGACGACGGGAATTTCAGTCCCATCTAAGACAGTGACAAGTATAGTTAGAAAAGTACTAGATGGAATATGGGGTCTTTCCAACAAACAATTGTTAGAAACAACTTTTTTGGGGCGCCTGGGTGGCTCAGTCAGTTGAGCGTCCGACTTCGGCTCAGGTCATGATCTCACGGTTCATGGATTCAAGCCCTGCGTCAGGTTCTGTGCCGACAGCCAGTTCAGAGCCTGGAGCCTGTTTCTGTGTCTCCCTCTCTCTCTGACCCTCCCCTGCTCACGCTCTCTCTCTCAGAAATTAAAAAAATATTAAAATTTAGAAACAACTTTTTAAAACTAAACTAGTAGTATCACAGTTGCAGTAATTTCATATCAGTTTCTAGGTATAGTAACTAAGCAGCTTTGGTCCAAAGCAGGAGTTATTAGGGCACCTGGGTGGCTCAGTCAGTTGAGCATGGCAACTCTTGATTTTGCCTCGGTTCCCGGGAGTGAGCCCTGAGTCAGGCTCCACACTGAGCGTGAAGTCTGCTTAAGATTCCTTCTCTCTCCCCTGCTCTTCCCCTATTTTCCAGTCACACCGACTCTCTAAATAAAGAAATTTAAAAAGCAGGAGTTGCTATGAGGAATTCACGTATATTTTTTTTTTTTTTTTTTTAAATCCAGTCCAAAAACATTTTTGGACATTTACAAAGGTAATTTTATTCTGTTCTACAGATGAATATAAAAATAACTCTGTCCTCGGGGCGCCTGGGTGGCTTAGTCGGTTAAGCGTCCGACTTTTGCTTAGGTCATGATCTCGCGGTTTGTGGGTTCGAGCCCCGCGTCGGGCTCTGTGCTGACTGCCAGCTTAGAGCCTGGAGCCTGTTTCAGTCTGTGACTCCCTCTCTCTCTGACCCTCCCCTGCTCACGCTGTCTCTCTCTCTCCTAGAAATAAATAAAACATTAAAAAATAAAAAAAATAAAAAAAATAACTCTGTCCTCCAAGAGCTCATAGTTTAGTGAACACATAATTGCAATAATATAAGCTCAAATACAGAGGAAGAGTGATTTCCTTAATGAGCAAGTGTGGGTCAGTCTTCTGGAGGAGAGGAGATGACTGAAAGCTAATAAATGAACAAGAGCTGGTCAGATGGCAGAAAGTAACGAGAACATACCAGACCGTTGGAACAGAACAAGTAAATGCCGATAGGAGGGGAATAGTAGGGCTTGAGGACAGAACTATGCATAGTTTGTTGCCAAAGCATGAAGTACCAGGTAAAGAATGGCAGGAAATAAAATCAGAAAGACGAGCAAAAGTCATGACATGAAGAGCTTTACATGCCATGTCAAGAAGCCTAATCTCGGGGCGCCTGGGTGGCTTAGTCGGTTAAGTGTCCGACTTTCGCTTAGGTCATGATCTTGTGGTTCGTGGGTTCGAGCCCCGTGTTGGGCTCTGTGCTGACTGCCAGCTCAGAGCCTGGAGCCTGTTTCAGTCTGTGACTCCCCTGCTCACGCTGTCTCTCTCTCTCCTAGAAATAAAAAAAAAATTAAAAAAAAAAAAAAAAAGCCTAATCCCTATTTGGTAATGGGGATCATTTCTGAGCAGGATGCACACATTCTCTCAGTCCAGTATCTGGGACCTGGGAGGCTATTCAATATTTCTTAATAAACTCTCATGTTGACAGTATATGGTATCAGAAGGGAGGTCCATTTGAACCTTGGAATTAAGGGAATACTCCATGGATTCTTAATGACAGAAGTCATCATGGAGCTTCAGATACTGCTTCCTTCATTCACCCATTTGACTATTCATTTATACATCTCATCAGTTATTCACCGAACACTGTGTATCCAGATATGTTAGGACCTGGGAAACAAAGAATGAGACAAAATCTCTCCTTCAGCGAGGACTCCAGTTTAGTTCAGAATATACACGGAGACACAGGCTATATTATAACTGACCAGTATTACAACAGATATGCGTATAAAAGGCAGAGTGGGTGACATTTGAACAGAGCCTTAAAGAGTAACTCAGGAGTTTCTCCAGGCAGAGAAGCTAGAATGTACAAAGGCATGATCATATAGAAATGTATCAGGAAATAGCAGTATCAGTTGTTTAGTGATGGATATCGAGCCCAGAGGCAAAAGTGCAACTCTTGTAGAATCTTTAACAATATTAAAGGCTAGGAATTTCCACTTTAAATTCTTACCTTCAGAGGTGAACATACCTCAAATTTTTCTCTAAAACGTTTTTCTTCTTTTTCCATCCTGATCTTTTCTAAGTTTTGCTTCTTTGTTCTAAAGAAATTTCTAGGAGAAAAGTAGCAAGACAAATGGAGATAGGGTTAAATGTACCATAATAAACTCTTTAAGTTTCCAAATCTATAAACTTATTCTGCTTCAGGATAAATTCAGGTATAATTCTGTGTGTATCTGTTTATATAAAGTTATATATAGTCCTATATATGTATGTGTGTATAGAAATATATATATATATATATTTCCACTTAGAGCAGAGTTTCAGAACAACTGAACAGGGTATTACCAATTACTTTTTCCTTATAACTAAAAAGTTGTAGTTTCTTTGTGGATACCAAGATAATTTAGACTAAAATCAACAATTTAACAAGAAACTTCTCTAAATCAGACTTCAAAGTATAGTCAACTTGTTTACAAAAATCATAAATTTATGTGTTTCTATCAGAGAACTGTCCTATTTGCAGAATTGTTCTGGAGAAGAAGCGAATTAAGAAAATAAAGCAAATTGCCACAAAATATGCACATAAAAGAGGATAGATAACCCTACAGCAGAGACTGATTACACCCTTCACTCCTCCCATTTCCTCTTTCCTGCTCTTCGTGTGGGTGGGAATTGGTGCTGCTTTTTAGTGGTTTAGTATATTTATTGGCAGAAGGAAAAAAAAAATCAGGCAGGTCATATTAGTTTTATTCAGAAATGTCTCCTTTATCTGTTTCATTCTGTCCCAAGATTACAGCCACTGCCACATTTCATTTGCCTGAAATGCCTTTTTTTTTTTTACCTTTCCTTCCTCAAATCTTTCTGCATACCGATCTCTAGAGTCATCTTTCTAAAATTTAATTGATCATGTCATCTTTTGTTTAAAATCTTTGATCTGTCTCTATTGCCCATAAGATAAAGTCAAATTCCTTAGTGTGGTACACAGGGCATTTTCTAATCAGGCCCCAATCTACATTTTCCATACACACACACACGTGCACACACCAAGTCTCCACCTTGGAACATCTTGGAAGGTGGGCTATTTCTATGCCTTTATAGCTGGGTTATCCTTCCTCAACTTCTCTGAGAACTTGTCATCTTTAATTCAGAAAGAGAATAAAAAAGAGAATAATAAAAGGGTTGAACTAATGCAGAAAACATTTCTTACTGGTAGAAAAGTTACGGTAGAAATAAAGGACCTAGAAATTGATACATCAATCTGTAGGAATATGGTAGCCCTAATAGCTGCAATATAAAATTTACTCAGTTGAAAATAAAAGTAAACTATAATATCAACTGCTTGTAAGAAATAAAGAAGCACCAGAAAATTGTTTCCTGGAAAGACTTACGTGTACATTAAAATACTAAACATTTTTGGGAGGGGGTGTCAACAATTTCACTGATATTTTCTCTCTTGGAATTCTGTTTTGCTATGGTAAGTAAAAGTATGAAGTTGAGGTGGAGAGATGTTTTTTCTAGTCTCCGAATACATTTTTTGAACTTGGGAAAAGTTACATAAAGTCCAAACCCAAAGATGGCCATTTTATGCCATCCCTCTGAGTTTAAATTTGGTGGAGACAGATGCCTGCTTTCTTTTGGGATGCTCTTACAGTACTTTTCTAGATAGGTTTCCCAGAGCAGACAAACCACACAGTGTTCCCAGCTCAGTGACTAGGCAAGGGTTTCCCCAAGACATCGATTAAAGTGCCCTTGAGAAGACCAGAGCACAGATCATACAGTAACTGTCTGGGACAGTAAAAACATCACCTCCTCCAACAGCCAACTCTGGGAACTCAAATCACATGAATGATGGTTAGACCTGGAGTTAAAATATACTTTTTAAACTATATTTCTAACACTGGAGTAGTCATAGCTAGAATTGTGTTTTAGGGAAATTAATCTTGTTATGTGATCACAGTTTCTCGAAGTTTGAGTTCAAACTGGTATATTATTTAAGTTCCATCTATAGAGGAAAAGTTTTTGCAGCCTAAAAGAAGGTGAAGTTTTTTCTTCATTTGATAAAGGCTAGCTTGAAATCTTTCCTTACTCCCTATCCACCAAAAGTATGGACAATGATGATGAAAATAAATGTGTGTGGCACTTTACATTTTCATATTCTTTCTCTCTCTTAATCTTCTCAACTATACATACTATAATATAGGTGCTATTATTCTCATGTTATAGATGAGAAACCTGAAAATCAAATTATTTAATAACTTGCCTAAGGTCACACAGCTAGTAAGAGGTATAAATTTCAGCAGATAAACTGTAATGTAAATGCACCTCTGTACCTACCTTTCAGATTCTTCACCTTTTTTCTCTTTCTTTTCCTTTGCCATCAAAAATTTGGGCTTCCAGGTTTTTAATTTATCTTCATTTCTGAGGAGAAAAATATTTTGAGCAAGTAGATAAAGACTGAACTAAAACATATATGGAAATGTCAGCACTTTTTGGACAACTATGCTTACAAAGAATTTAAAATGTCATCTAGATCCAGCAGCATATCAAAAGAATCATCCACCAAGATCAAGTGGGATTCATTCCTGGGTTACAGGGCTGGTTCAACATTCGCAAATCAATCAATGTGATACATCATATCAATAAAAGAAAAGATAAAAACCATATGATCCTGTCAATAGATGCAGAAAAAGCATTTGACAAAATACAGCATCCCTTCTTAATAAAGACTCTCGAGAAAGTTGGGATAGAAGGAACCTACTTAAACATCATCAAAGCCATCTATGAGAAGCCTTCAGCTAACATCATCCTCAATGGGGAAAAACTGAGAGCTTTCCCCCTGAGATCAGGAACACGACAGGGATGTCCACTCTCACCACTGTTGTTTAACATGGTGCTGGAAGTCCTAGCATCAGCCATCAGACAACAAAAGGAAATCAAAGGCATCAGAATTGGCAAAGAGGAAGTCAAACTTTCACTCTTCGCAGATGACATGATACTCTACATAGAAAACCCGACAGACTCCACCAGAAGCCTACTAGAACTGATCCAAGAATTCAGCCAAGTTGCAGGGTACAAAATCAACGTACAGAAATCGGTTGCATTTTTATACACCAAGCAACAGAAAGAGAAATCAAGAAACTGATCCCATTCACAATTGCACAAAAAACCATAAAATACCTCGGAATAAACCTAACCAAGGATACAAGAGATCTGTACGATGAAAACTATAGAAAACTTATGAAGGAAATTGAAGAAGACACAAAGAAATGGAAAAACATTCCATGCTCATGGATAGGAAGAATAAATATAGTTAAGATGTCCTTACTACCCAAAGCACTCTACACATTCAATGCAATTCCAATCAAAATTGCACCAGCATACTTCTCAAAACTAGAACAAACTATCCAAAAATTTGTATGGAACCACAAAAGACCCCGAATAGCCAAAGTAATACTGAAAAATAAAACCAAAACGGGAGGGATCACCATCCCAGACTTCAGCCTCTACTACAAAGCTGTCATCCTCAAGACAGTATGGTATTGGCACAAAAACAGACACATAGACCAATGGAACAGAATTGAGAACTCAGAAGTGGACCCAAAAGTATACAGCCAACTGATCTTTGACAAAGCAGGAAAGAATATCCAATGGAAACAAGACAGCCTTTTTAACAGATGGTGTTGGGAGAACTGGACAGCAACATGCAGAAGAATGAAACTAGATCATTTTCTCACACCATGCACAAAAATAAACTCCAAATGGATAAAGGACCTGAACGTGAGACAGGAAACTATCAACACCCTAGAGGAGAAAGCAGGAAACAACCTCCTTGACCTCCACCGCAGCAACTTCTTACTTGACACATCCCCAAAAGCAAGGGAATCAAGAGCAAAATTAAACTGTTGGGACCTCATCAAGATTAAAAGCTTCTGCACAGCCAAGGAAACCACCCAGAAAATTAATAGGCAACCAACGGAATGGGAAAAGATAGTTGCAAATGACATATCAGATAAAGGGTTAATATCCAGAATCTATAAGGAACTCACCAAACTCCACGCCCGAAAAACAAACAACCCAGTGAAGAAATGGGCAGAAGACATGAACAGACACTTCTCCAAAGAGGACATCCAGATGGCCAACAGACACATGAAACGATGCTCAGCATCCCTCCTCATCAGGGAAATACAAATCAAAACCACACTGAGATACCACCTCACGCCAGTCAGAGTGGCTAAAGTGAGCACATCAGAGAACTCAAGATGCTGGCGAGGATGTGGAGAAACGGGCACCCTCCTACACTGTTGGTGGGAATGTAAACTGGTGCAGCCCCTCTGGAAAACAGTGTGGAGGTTCCTCAGGAAACTAACAATAGAACTCCCTTATGACCCAGCAATAGCACTGCTAGGAATTTACCCAAGGGATACAGAAATGCTGAGGCATAGGAGCACATGTACCCCAATGTTCATAGCAGCACTCTCCACAATAGCTAAAACATGGAAAGAGCCTAAGTGTCCATCAACAGATGAATGGATCAAGAAGATGTGGTTTATCTATACCATGGAATACTACATGGCAATGAGAAACAATGAAATCTGGCCATGTGTAGCAACATGGATGGACCTTGAGGGTGTGATGCTGAGCGAAATAAGTCAGGCAGAGAAGGACAAATATCATATGTTTGCACGTATAGGAGGATTAGGAGGAACTTGACGGAGGAACAAGGGGGAGAAGAAGGGCGGAAATGGTGGGGGAAAGGGAGAGAGGCAAACCATGAGAGACTCTTGAATGCTGACAAAAACTGAGGACTGATGGATGTGGGGGGGAGGTGGGGATGGGCATGGAGGAGGGCACTTTGGGGATGAGCACTGAGTGTTATGTAGAAACTAATTTGACAAACTATTTGTAAAAAAAAATAATAAAATGTCATCTAGAAGTATATTTGGATAATCTGTGTCAAGGCCAGATTGTGAATATCTGAAGCTTTGCAAGCTATATACCATCTCTATGGTAACTAGTAAACTCTGCCGTTGTGACTGTATTTACCAAAACAGGTAGCCGGCTGTTTTGGCCTACAGGCCATAGTTTGCTCATCTCTGATGTGAGGTGATCCAAATTTGAAACCAGAAGCAAGAGATCAACCTGCTTATAATCATATTTCCCTTTCTGAGCCTCAAGTTTCTTTGCCTTTAAAACGTGACTAATATTAATCATTACCGTGAGACAAGACTAATCTAACTAGTGTTTAACATTAGTAGAAAGGGATGCAGGGAAAAGCCAGGGAAGATGGTGGAGTAGGAAGACCCTAAGCTCACCTGGTCCCATGGATACAACTAGGTAATGTCCAAATCAGTGTAAAAAAAACCATAAAATGATCTGAAACTGACAAAACAGATTCTCTACAGCTAAATGGAAAGAAGAGACCATACTGAAGAGGCTCAGAAGGGCAGAGTCTCTGTAGGAAGCTAAACAGACCCTCAGGACTGTACACAGGAGGGAGGGATGCTGCAGGCAAGGAGCAAGGAAAGAAACAGACACCCCAGGCATGGGGAAGATGAACCCACCCCACCCCTGGCCCAAAACATTTAGCTTTGAAATCTAGAGGGCCAAATTTCATGAGTTCTTACATTCAGTTAGGCTTAACACCTGTAACTTTAAAAATCAGGGGGATCAACTCTGGGAGAACCAAGAGGGCTAGAGGAAGCGGTGTCCTTTTCCTTAAAGAGATAGCACAGCAAATAGCTCCAAGGGAATACAGCATAGAAGCAGCAGTTTAAAAAACAGCTGGGGTATAAGGGAAAGATAATTGTTTACTAATCTCGGAACATGTGCTGAATGGACAGGGATCTTCTTCAGGAGCAAAGGAGCAGGTGGTCACCATTTCCTCTACTCCCCCCAGACTTGACATCTATGGGAACCAGTGCTGTGAACACTACTTTGCTATCACCAATTGCCCCATCCCCACACACTTCTGTGGATCTGCCCCCTACAACCAGGCCTGTGAGTTTGTAGGTCCCCTCTCACAGCACACAGGGCAGATTGCTGGCACCACACCCACCCCTGCCTTGTTCTGTTGACCTGTGTCTCCAATATGCACTTGGTTAGAGCCTATCCAAAGCAGTACCACAAGCCTGACAGTGTGTAAGCAGACCCAACAGGGCCCAGCACACTGCAAAGTGACTCCTGCTCCAAGAGGGGAAAATAATCATACACACCAGTCAGACTGTGGCTGGGGGCACACATCTGGTATGATTGCAGGCCCTGTCCACCAGCAAGCTTCTCAGGACAACACAGGGAAACTATCCTGCAGTTTAGTACTATTGCATCTCTAGCAAATGCCTGGTCTGAGTCAACTCAAACCCAAGTCTGGCCTAATAACAGAGGGTCCAAACCTTGCCTACAACAGGTAGAGAGCCATTGCAGATGACTGGACTTAAGACAAATGCACCTCAGCCACAGCAGCAAGGCTCATGCAACACAAAAAAGAGAGACTCCAGCAGCACCAGGTTCTGGTGAACAGGGAACACTACCCTGTAGGGGGCACTGTAGGGCCTCTTCTTCATAAAGCCACTACTTTCCAAAGCAGGAGATGGGCCTAACTTTTGTAACACAAAGTAACAGACACGTAGAGTTAGACAAAAGGAGACAGGAATGTGTCCCAAATGAAAGCACAGGACAAAACCAGTAACAGATCTAAGCAAAATGGAAATAAGTAGTATGCTTGGTAGAGAATTTAAAGTAATGGTCATAAAGATATTGGACTTGAGAAAAGAGTGGAGGACCCCAGTGAGACCCTCAACAAAGAGATAGAAAACATAAAATGAACCAATCAGAGATGAAGAACTCAATAACTGAAATTAAAAATATATTACATGGAATAAAGGGTAGGCTAGAGGAAGCAACAGAACTGATCAGAGACCTGGAAGACAAAGTAATGGGAAGCAATCAAGCTGAACAGGAGACAGGGGAAAAAATAAAGAGACTTAGGGAACTTAGTAACAGATCAAGTGCGTTAACGTTCACTTCATTGGGATCCTAGAAGGAGAAGAGAAGGAAGAAGGGGCAGAAAATTTATTTGAAGAAAGAATAGCTGGAAGTTTCCTGAAGATAGGGAAGGAAACACATTCAGATCCGGAAAGCACAGAAAATTTCCAACCAAATCAAACCAATGAGGTCCACAACAAGACACACAGCAATTAAAATGGCAAAAAAGAGTGATGAGAGAACTTTAAAAGCAGCAAGAGAAAAGAAAACAGTTACATAGAAGGGACACTCCATTAGGCTATCAGCTGATTTTTTAGCAGAAACCTGGCAGGCCAGAAAGGAGTGAGATGATACATTCAAAGTACTAAAAGAAAAAACCCTGCAGCCAAGATTACTACTATATCTAGCAAGGCTAGAATTCAGAATAGAAGAAGAAA